TTGTGTTCTTCATGTCAAAAGTGTTAATAAGCGCCGGAATGGGGCCCTATCATATTTATACTTCGGTAACGACTGGGCCCAATTAAATGACGACTCCTTGCATTATGGATACGCCCCTGTGATTTGGTTGTCATCGGGACATTCTTTATAACATGCGTCTTCTTCGGTGTTTTATGATATGGCTGTCGATACTTACTTTTGTGCTTTTGTAAGTATAAATAATATTTAAGACTAAGGGACAGATTCTGCCGCATAATAGAAAATTTATGGCAAGATGAAGAAGGCTTTCTTATAGAAGATATTGACAAAAGCCATGCGGTTGCTGTGCAGTTTAGGCCTATTCTCAGGTTGTCAGATAGAAAACTAACCTAGAAACGATGTTACATAACTAGTGTTAGAAGTATCGAGGCAAAAGATCGATAATGAGACTTTGAAAAGTATCTAAGCAAAATATCGATGCCAAAAAAATATTGTGGCGAAAGTATCTAGGTACTCAATATCGAATTTTGAGTTCTTTTCATAAAAAACAACATAAGTGCAAAAAGATCTAAAACTCATTAAATATCATATCATAATATTAGAATAAATTCTATTGCTTGTATCTGATGTGTTAAATCAGAATCATTTTCAATATGTAAAATTTTAACAGTAATTTTTCAATACTACTTTCAAATTCTATAATTTTTCAAAAAAAAACAAGTAATAATAGTTGAGTATTTTTGATTAAAACAATATAATAGTCTGATACTATATTTAAAAAGCAATACATTTTAAGTATTTTTAAGTACAAAAATAATATGTTTAATATTTTTTAACTAAAATAATATTTTATAATTTGCAACTTTAAAAAGCCGTTACATGTTAACATAAAAGTGCAATATGAAGCTCTTTGGAAAGCATAAACATTCATTTTAATGACGGTCAAGATAATATTTCGACACTTGTAGAAAAACATCCCTTCGGAGCGATGAGATTTAAGTTTAAATGGTCCGAGAAACTCAAACCCATATGTTTGCATGTTGATATTCAAAAATTTTCAATTACATTAGTATTTTGCGTAAAAAAGAATCGAAATATAATTATTTCAAATAATAATACTCATCCATTAAAATATATTAGTATTTTGCGTAAAAAAAATCGAAATATAATTATTTCAAATAATAATAATCATTCATTTCAATATATTAGGCTGTCAAATATCTCCCTTCCGCTTTTTGCTATTGGTTTATAATACAAAAAGGCGGAAGGGAGATATTTGACAACCTAATATTAGTATTTCGCGTAAAAAAGAATCGAAATATAATTATTTTAAATAATAATACTCATCCATTAAAATATATTAGTATTTTGCGTAAAAAAGAATCGAAATATAATTATTTCAAATAATAATAATCATTCATTTCAATATATTAGGTTGTCAAATATCTCCCTTCCGCTTTTTTGCTATTGGTTTATAATACAAACAGGCGGAAGGGAGATATTTGACAACCTAATATTAGTATTTCGCGTAAAAAAGAATCGAAATATAATTATTTCAAATAATAATACTCTTCCATTTTAATATATTAGTATTTGCGTAAAAAAGAATCGAAATATAATTATTTCAAATAATAATATGTATCCATTTCAATATATTAGTATTTCGCGTAAAAAAATCGAAATATAATTATTTGAATAATAATAATCATCCATCACAATATATTAGTATTTTGCGTAAAAAAGAATCGAAATATAATTATTCGAATAATAATACCCATCCATTTCAATATGTTAGTATTTTGCGTAAAAAAAGAATCGAAATATAATAAACGCAAATACTAATATATTGAAATTGATGAATATTATTATTTGAAATAATTATATTTCGATTCTTTGTTACGTAAAATACTAATATTAGGTTGTCAAATATCTCCCTTCCGCTTTTTTTGCTCTTGGTTTATAATACAAAAAGGCGGAAAGGAGATATTTGACAACCTATTATATTGAAATTGGTGAGTATTATTATTTGAAATAATCATACTTCGATTGTTGAATATGTTTTAATAAAACATTTAAGGTACTTTAAAAAGCCATTTCATTTTACATAAGAGTAATTAATAAACATTTTTATTTATTAGTGTGGTCATATGCATTTTAGGGTTTTGAGCAATAAATTCTGAGACTAATGACCCTTCGGGATCATTTTTTAACACTTTTTTGAACAATTATGACCACCTAGAGAGACTATTGCTTTGTATTTGGCAATGAGTGGTGTTAATAGATTACGCTGTCGATTCTTTTTGAATACTATCGACGAAAAGAATCGATATCGGCAAATAGATCGAGCTAAAAATCGATAGCAAAAGTACTCACTATCGACCGCAAAGTATCGATATTTACTCAGTACTCGATATTTCGTTCTAACACTATACATAACAGGGTCTTTCTGATCCAGCTTCATTTTCTATTATGCGGCAGAATAGGTCCCTAAATAAGTAAGTTGATTATATTTTATTTATTTTTCTCTTTAGTGGAAGACAGCGAACGAAATGATGGATCACCTGAAAGACCTTATTACATGTCGAAAGAGCTTATGAAGATTTTAGGCCGAAGGAACAAAGTCGTCGAGGACTAGATTTTACATCTTTCAGCCAACTTCCAAATTTTACCGATTAATTTGAATTTATTTTAATTTATTACCCGAGTGGAAGATTGCTCAAAAAACAAATCGAAAATTATGTTATTGATTCATACAAATTTTGCATTATAGTTACCATAAGAATTGAATTTATATATTATATATACGGTAAGTTTAAATATAAATATGTATTTATTTTTACTATTCAAATACTAAGTGTCTTAAATG